AACCCTACTTTAAACCAATACTCTGGGGTGCCAAGACATCTCTTCTAAGTCTTGCAACAGTATCCAGTCATGTGATTTCCTTGTTCTATACTGTATATATATATGTGTCAGTGTAAACTAATTGTACCTGATGATGACAAAACCTTGTCGAAACGTTGTACATTCGCTGTTATGTTAAACTTATATTAAAGTTTTTTCTTCATTACCCATTCAAGCCGTCTCCAAGCATTATAAATATTGACACAGTTTCACATTTTCAGAATCGGTTACTTTCTCTTTTGTCTTTATTTGTCTTTACATTATGATGTCGTATTGTTAATTTGTGTGTGTGTTTTTTTTATAGCAAAGCAACATCATGCTAGCTGCTATGTCCACCGAGGAGAATCGAACCCCTGATTTTAGCATTGTAAATCAGTAGATTTACCGCTGTCCCACTGAAGGACAGGATGTTGTTACTGTATGTAAGGACTCATTTTAAATAAAATAATAAGTAGGGTTATTATGCAAGAAAAAGAACTTCAGTCTGTGCATGTAACATATTGTTACGTCTCTGTTCGTTAGTTGATTTTCCGTAACTTCGTTCCCACGAAACTTTAGCGACACAAGTCCTTTCTTAATAAAACTGGTTTATTCTTTCCGAATATAACTTTACCGATACACTTATTTTCAACAGTCGCTCTATAACAAACGCTATAACAACGAACTTCAACAATACTTTCTGACTGAAGTTCAATTACTCACTACCTACACACACATTATCACGTCACGCCGTGAGCGTCTTATATATATACCAGACTAACATATATCTAGTAAATGCTAGAGCATTCACGAAGGAACAGGATATTTCTAGAAAATAGGTGGCGTAACCTCGCTGACACAACAATATTATCAAAAGTCACTTAAAACTTTAACTTATAAGTTGAAAGATTAATCAAACGTGCGAATGTACTTCTAAAGCTGTTATCGAGAAACTTGTAAATATAAGCGTATTGGAAGATATTGTGTAAAGTAATCTACCTACAGAAAATCTAATTTCAATGCTAAATTAGTCAATTGTACACTGGGATAATGCCCGAGAGTTATGTTTACTCTAGTCTCGGTTACAAATAGATGGTTAGAAGGGGTGATGTTTGCATGAAATGCAAATACTGTGCATGAAATCACGATAGGGGTTCCTGGAGTTAAAGAAACCAAAACGAGAGATCATCTCAAAAACATTAGAACCCAATAAAAAGAGGTCAAGAAAACTGAGAAGATGAAGAAATAGTAAGAATAAGATATCTTTCTCTTCTCATTGTAACCGTTTTCATTATCTTAAATCGATGGCTGACACTTTTGAATATGACTGATCAGATCTTAACCAATGAAAGTCATAAGAAATAGCTGAAGGACATTTATTGTTGTGAGCAGAGCTTCTGTCATAAACGTGTCAAAAACCATTCTTACACTGCAAATCAAAGTAGAAATGAAATGGCTCTGAACAGTGGGAAGACGTATACCAATACAACCTATGGGGAGTTTCAGTGTATTTTTTAAAGAAAGAGATATGAACCCCTAAACTTATGCAAAGCTTTATCTGAGAAATTATTCTAGCGGATTTTCTCTTGCTTAAAGTTGCCACTGAAACTATGTACGATCGACTCACCATTTTAGTAGTGAAAATTTCACATAAAATTTTCAGGGCCGGAAAATATATTTATTTAGATAGTTCAAAAGTGATGACATAGATTTCCGAAAATCGATTTCTCGTGTTAAATTGACACTATCAGGAGTATGATTACGCAGAGCTAGTTTAGAAAATGTTGTTGTGTGTATGAAGCACAAAGTTGTAGAAAGAGCTATCTGTGCTCTGTCCACCACAGATATCGAAATCCGGTTTCTGGCGGTATAAGAATAAAATGCGATAAACTATTTTAGATAATCACGTTAAAGATTTTATCTGCTGTAGCGAATTTATTGTTATATATATTTATATATAGATAGATAGATATATATATTAATATCGACGTTTGTTTGGAATAAATTTATATTTAGAAACATACATGGCTTATGCTGTTAAATATCTATTGCGAAACTCCCGCCTATTCGTCAGAGTTGTAGAAGATTCTCAAGAGTAAGAATCAACAATATATGTGTGTACGTAAACGCTTGTGTTAGCGTCAGTATTGTTACATAAAACTGAAATTTCTAGAAAGCCTCCCACGCCTATAAATATAACTAACGCGACGCGCCAGAAAAAGAGAGTATTTATTATTAGTTTGCTACAGTCAGTGTGATATAAACTTCGGAAGCAATAACTGTGATTGTTATAGCGCTTACCAATTGGAAAACTTAAGATATTTGACCATGACCATTTACAAAGTTCGAACATACAACTCATTTAACTTCAGTGGATTCCTATCGGACATTAGTATTTTTACGAAAATATTAAATAAATTCATCGTGGAAAACCCGGTGTGTGTGGCCGATAAATAACGAAGGACAAAACTAGCTAGTAGCTTCCCGTTAAGCGAATTGTACGTCAACTCGTAATTAACTCGCTCGTCTTGAACCCCCGATAAGATATCGAAGAAGTTCCAAATTAAAAGGAAGACTTTATATTGTTTGTAATTTTGTGAAATTTTTGTTTATGAATCATTGTTTGTAATAACTATTTGTAATAACTGTTACTGTAAATTGTATTGTTGTGTGTCTATTAAAACGTATTTGTGCTAAAAAAGAAAACTGTGTATCAATCTCATTGGCAAATATCATAAATTGACTATATATCGGCTTTTACTGAACTACTAAATCCAAAGTACAATTTAACTATTAAATTTAAATTATTATTCAACTCAATTTCAGGCCATTTGAAATTATAATACGTAACGCTATATGCATTGTTTTCACTATTTTTTTTGCGTTTTGTTTACTGTGGTACAAACATATTCACCTAAGTTTAATATATAGTATTCCTAAAGACAAAATATACAGTTTAGTTTCCTCATGAAAAATGCTACAGGCTCTGCCCTCAATCTCGGTGGAGCAACAATGGTATTTTCCACTTATATATATATATATATATATCGTCTTTCGACTTAGAATTTAACTCGGCTTTGAATTCAGGGCTGAATTGTATTTACTTGACGCGTTTGTCTTGTAAACTTTTCTTTTGTCTTTTAAAACGGTTATATAGTGTGTTCCCTCATGTACATATATATATATATATTCTGGCGGAAGAGTTGGCTCTACTGTGTAGTCAAAAGACTGGGTTAAAAGGGTTGCACAGTGAGTTTTCTTTACATATTGCTTCTGCTGTGTCACTAGGTTGTAGACGGTTTTAGGATGTAATTATGCTATGTTGGTTAGATAAAGTAAATATAGAATCACTGTGAGAAGTGCTAGATTATTGAATCTTTTATTTTTGAGAATTGTAATTTCACGTTTCAAAATATTTTTTGGTTATCTTGTGTTATTTTGCTTATGAAATCTCTCTCTCTCTTCTTTTTTTTTTCTTTTTCTCCAGTTCACTTAAATCCAGTAAGCAGGCAAAAGCGGGAGGAAGATTTTGAATGTCCTGTACCCGATGGATTATTTGCTGATCCTGCCACCTGCCGGCGTTTCTACATATGTTCTGGAGGCTATCCTTTCAGCCAAACATGTCCTCCTCCTCTTTACTTTGATGATGTTAAGAAGTTTTGTACCAGAAAAAATAAAGAATATACTTGTGGGCCAGTTGAATTAAGTAAGTCATTAGATAAATCTGGGAGTTTTGTAAAGTTCAAGCTAAAATTACCAAATGTTTTAAACAGAAGATGTTTTTGCTATTACCAGTACTCAGGGCCAGACTTAGGTTTAGTGGGGCCGGGGCCCTAGGTCCAGCTAATATTTGGGAATAATAAAAAATAATGGTAATAATAATAACCCACTCTTGCTTCTATTCTGCCAGTTTTACGAACCATAACTGTTTTACTTCGGTGGCCAGTGGGGCCCTAGTTGGCATGTGTGTTAATTTAGTACGACTAGTACCATTAATAAAATTAAATGTTCAATTCACAATTATGATTTTAAAGTAGTTTACAGGCTTGTACAAGTCCTTACAGCTAGTATAATGAACTTACAGAGGAATATTTGAAAAATATAAGTTTATACACAAACTTACAAATAGTTGTCTCTGACACAGAGTAATCTTTTAATACCCAGACATTGTTATTTAACGTTTTTGAAAGATTAATTAAAACATAATATGGTGTAAAAAGTCACATGTCTTTTCTAACATTTCTGATGCATTCTGAATTCTTTGTTTAAATTCGATGTTTTAGAGTGGACTCTTATTCTAATATAACAAAACATTTTTAATTCTCACGAGGTATGTTTCAATACAGAGAGCAATTAATGCTTCTAAAACGTTGTTTGCGTGTGTGTAGAACAGTGGCTATAGAAAAAATTATTCATACCAAAGAATAGACAGTGACCGAGGATTGTTTAGCAAAATTCCAAATATCATTATTCCCTTCACCATAAATCCATTAGCTAATTTAGATTACTTAGCCACATATGTTATAAAAATCAGAGTGAGTCACTTGAAATAATACCAGTAAGTTGTATAACACGTTCTCAGTAACGCGAAGAGTGCTGGATTTGATTGAGTCCAGTACGATCCAAAAATATATTGTAATTCATGGAGCTCGTGTAAGAAGAAACTGAACTTGAATTTCTGTTCTGGGTGTTGATGTACTTACATGTAAGGACTGCAGAACCGAAGGGTACTGGGGACACGTACTTCCTACTTTTTTGCAAAGTAGTAACACGCCCCTCTTCAAAAAATAAAAACTTTAACAATAATAATATAATAAAGTCGGTAAAACAGTATGTAAAACTCAAGTATGTAAAGCGAGTTGTAGTTGCCAGCATTCTTATTTGCTCGATTTAAGTTGGTATTTCTTTTTGACAAATCAGTAAAAATGCGAAAGGTGCCCTTCACATCCAAAGTGATTATGCCACTTATGTTTACATGTGTGAATTCTAAATAAAGATGAAGAAATCATTTTTGTAAAAATTAAAAGCTGTTAGGTTCGGATTAACAATCTTTGTATTAAGTGGAATTTAAATTCACGCCCTTTATTTGATCACGTTTTTGAACAACATTGTTTTAATTACCTTTATTTTAAAGGGAAACATTAACATTCACATTTATTACTGACTGGGAAATTTCCATTTGATATTTAAGCGGTAAATCTAAAAGCTTATAGCCTTTAACGCTGAAAATCAGGTTTCGATACCCGCGGTGGGCACATCTAAGATAGTCCATTGTGTAGCAGCAACAAAAGACTAGGAAACTAAATTTCTTAACTCTCCGCCATAACTACAGTGGAGCAGTGACATCTGGTGACATTGTTAACCGTGATCAAAATATGAAACAATACATTGTATTTAATGTTTAGAGAAAGAAGAAAGAAAGACTTTCTGAAACATTTTGTTAACAAATGACAAAAAAAATTGCAAACAGAATTAACGATTTTATTATTTCGTGGTAGAGTCTCCATACGAATTTGCTTTGCATTTATAGCTACGTAGCCACAAGATAAGCACGTGGTCTAAGTATTTCGTCCGTATACATATTTAAAATATTTCCTTAGCGATGAAACGTGTTACCTCATTATCGTTGATGTCCCAGATCTAGCCACTCGAAGATGGGCGGATGTCACGACCTTACTAGTCAAACAGGTTCCCATACGACATAACTAGGCTCGCCGATTTAAGTAGACAATATTATTATCGTCTTTGTTGACAAAGCCTTCTACGAATGTTACGTAGCATATGCATGTGTGTGTGTGTGTGTGTGCGCGCACACACTGATACGTGTGTAAATAAGTCATTAAATTCAAACAATTACAAGCAGTTTTAATAATCTGGGATCAATGTCTTACACGTTTAACAAAGTTAAAAAATAAATAATCGCGTTTTAATTTGTAAGAATTCGAATCAGAGACGCGTTTCTTTATAACATGGTAACCACGTACGCTATGCAAGTGTAACACGTAACACATTTTCAACACCTTTTTTAAACCTGTTTTTTTAGTAAGGAATATAAACCAGAGTCGTCGCCCTATAAACAAAACTATATTATTTCTTACGTGTTTGTGCATCGACATGTAACCGGTATATTAAGGTGGAAGTTTAGAAGGTTCAGACTTTAGTCAGGTTGTATGAATATCAATTAACAACAATATTAGTGGTTGGCGTGCTCGGACTGTGAATCCCAGAGATCCATTGTTTGCATCACATTACAGCAAAACGTGTTTTCCAGTTTGAGACCGTGGGTGTGTTATAAGAGTGGCGGTCAAATCCAATTATTCGATCAAACTAGAGTAGCCCAAGAGTTTGTGGGGGGTGCTGCAGACAAGCAGCCTTCGTTCTAGAGTATCAATTCAAACTTAGTGACGACTATGCGTATATAGCTATCGTGTAGTTTTTGTATGCAATTCTAAAAACAAATAATGCTAAAATGATTAGGTTGATTTATGACATTAAATAATTTACTAGACAAACTTTTAGTGGGAGCTCGCCTAGTAATGCTAATGCTACTGTTAAGAAACCGGCACAAACTACGTATGAACACACTCACTGATGCTAATGCGACTACCGTACTTTTCCAATTACAAACCGTGGTTTATACACGAATTTTGTCTGCAAAACCATAACATGCGGTTTATACACGAATACGAGTGCGGCTTATACTTTAATTTGTTTTTCATAAGAAGCACTATACATTTCATGCTACTGATAACGTGTCGGTTAAATTACGTGAAAAGTTTACCAGAAACATCGTTACGCTTTGATGATACCGTACTGTGACCACTCAAGGGGAAGAATCCGTCAAAGTAATGACAACCGGCAATGAGAAGACACTGTTGTCTTGTTGTGTTCAGCCGATGATACCGTACTTTCCGAAATGATAATTTTTTCGAAGAGTCACCATGCCTCTGGTATCAGTATATTGGTATCACGCACTTCTATGTTGTCTTCCTTTAGTCACCATGCCTCGAGAGAAGCTGCTCTCTGGTATCATTGTATTGGTATCATGCACTTCTATGTTGTCTTCATTTAGTCATCAAGCCTCGAGAGAAGCTGCT